TGAAAGTGATTTCATGTCACCTAAATATAGATTTGTAAAATGTTGACACTATTTAAAAAATTTAATGTTAGGCATATGGATTTTACAAAGATCTTCAGATTTAAAAAAAAATCTTAACACTCAATATACCAGGAAAAATAGTCATCACCTTTTACTATCTAGTTCCAATGAGTCTTAAACTTTTTAAAAAATATATTTTAAGTCATTTTAAGAATAATTTACAGAAGTGTAAAAGGATAGTTTAAAAAACAACTTTGTTAGAAACTTTTAGTGAGAATTTAAAAATAGTAAAAACAATTTTTATCTCATCTTTTCTTGGTTTTGACGGTATGTATACTTGAAATCAGCAACGTCAGTTGAATGTAACTAACTACTCACCACCTACTGTGGAACATATCCATCTTGTGAATAGTGATTTCAGATTTCAAAGACATTTCTATTAGGTTCTAGTTCAACATTATTTCTGGTTCTTCCCATACTTGCATTGACAAAATGCAACACTTTTTAAAACTTTGATGACATAATTTTGTGGGAGGATGGCAATTATTGAAGAACATTTTCATTTTTAGATTTATAAGCAACAATTAGAATGATAAATCCAATAATTTTTTCATTTTTACATCATTTAATTCCTTTCAATCACCTTTGTGCACATAGCTATCTTCAACATTTTTCAACTTAGAAACTATATCAAGTAAATTTTGGTGGATAAACATCATAAAAGATGAAAGAATACTGCACATCCATTCAGCAAAATTAGGTGGTCCAGGCCCTTGTCACAAAATATTGATTAAGCTTTTGAAAAGCATGATTACGTTTTTCCTATTGAGTACCTCCATGGGAATATTGTATTTCCTTGTTGTCCTTAGAAATTTTTGGTTTACTCACCCATTCTTGAGTATGAAAAAGCTCATTTAGAATATGAATCTTTAGACTCAAGGCTTGAGATTTGCTTGCATGATCAATTTCATCAGCATCATTAGGGTCTAGGGTACTGCCCTCTTTGCATTTACCTTGATTCCTTTAATAATTGTGAAAATTCATTTTATTTTACTTGCCATTATGGACAAAAATGAAAAATTCTTAATTCTTAACTGTATTTATTGAAAGCTTAAAAAACAAGACTCTAAAAATGATCTCTCTCCAGACTTTCGTATCTTCTTTGTAGATGATGCAATACTTTGGGAAGTGCTATATAAAAACTGAAGGATGCCATAATAGTGACCATTTATTTTCCTAATACATTATCCTTTTAGGTTAGTCATCATTATTTCATTTCCTTATTTTAGTCTTTCTTTTTTAGCATAGTTGGGCATAATTGACTAGTAATGATTAAATAATTCTTAGGATAATGAAACAAAGTGTTTCAAAAGATATAGGAAAAATTAAATCACTGAAAGTCCATAATATATCTCAGATTTATAAGAGTCCAAAGAACCCATACAAGAATTGCAAGATATGAGTTATATTCTATTTTTAAGAAGAAAATTTTCTCTTTGTCATTTGAAGGATTTCTAAGAAAGAATAAAAGTCATGAAATATCAATTCTTATAGTTAGAACTGCTCAAAAAAGAAACACCAAGCTAAAATTTTATCCAATGGACCTGGAGGCTACCTCTGGTAACATAATACATTTTCATTAAAGATACTTAAAAAAAAAAAAGTATTTCTTAGGGAACTGAACACTTTATAAAGGCCAGCAGTGTATCCACCAGTCTAGGGTCAGGATTCCCAGCCTACACTTTGTTGGAAGTGCCCTTCATTTCCTGAAGGGCTGGGTGCATGTGGCTGTTTTTGTTCTCAGACATCCTATCACTCAAGCCACAGGTAATTGTGGACAGTTGACCCAAGTTAAGAATATGAATTCCTCTTTTTCAAGATTTTGAACCATAAGAAACAAAGAGGGGACGGATACTGGTGCCAAAGAGGTAGGTCTAGCAGCATCACAGAGCCTGCCTGAAGTCTTGAGCAAGCCTAAATTATAGGAAAGCAGGAAGGAAGACATCTTCAGAGAAGCCAAGGGGAATGAAACAAATGTGTAGAATCCGTTGTGCCCCAGTAAGGGATAAAAGGTGATAAAAACTCGCTAAACTTCCTGCAATTTTGATTCTTCACATTCTTTATAATACCTCTTTATTTTAGAACTGGGTTCCTGTTTCTTCAAAACAACAAATCTCTAAAACAGAAATTAGTGCCAGGAATGGGATTGCCCAAATCACAGGTCCTGCGTGAAAGTGTAAAACTAGTTGCGGATGAAGCAAAGAGGGATAGAAATCAACATGGGGTAGAGACAGATAGGAGGATAGGATAGACAGATAGGACAGACAGAGAGGAGTCCAGTTCTATGACAAACTGATTGGAGATAAGTAATGACAAAATAGATAAACAATTACCAAAAATCTCTTGGGACCCAAACCACACATTCAGGTTATTTGGCTAAAAACAAATAGGGAAAAGCAGGGAACTTCTGTTTCATAAAGGGAAATCTTCTCTGCTGAGATTACTGAAGATCAGGTCCAGATATTACTCATGAGTTTGAAAAAGCTCAGGAGCCTAGCAATTGAAGTGGGGATATCTAACAGTAGACAGACTAGTTTGGGAAGCCCAACCCTCCCCACAGGATAGACATGTTGATGCCCAACCCCACCCACACCAACCCCTTGTAAAACACTTTCATGGATTAGGAATGTAACCTGTAGAGGGGAGAGTATTGTGGGGCAGACTAGGGAAAAGGTGCTTTCCAGTGTCTGCCAGCAAGCCTCTTTCTAAACACTTGTCCTCCTTTACTCTCTTGAAGACAAGGCCAATAGGAAGAAACAATGGGGATAAGGAAAGCTGAATAAAAATCAGGAAGGAATGGTCATTAGGCAGCCTGGTGATTAAGGGAGCAAATTTACCCCACAAAAAATTCCTGCAGTCACCCTTCAGTCAAAGACACACTCAAGAAAGACAATGATTGAAAGCCCACTAAAGTTCCAGGGTAGTTAGCACCTGAAGAACCTTAGTCTTGAACAAGTACTATTATCAACTCATATCAACATGGGGTGAGTCCTGCCTCTTCTACAGGCTCCAGACTCAAGTAGAAAAGGATGCTGGCAGCAGACAATAATTACTGAAGTGGAAAGAGGACTCCTCGCCTATGTCCCTCAGAAGAGCAAGCCTGAAGGACAAGGAAAAAGGAAATCCTTCTAATGGGTGGATCCTAGGGCTGTCAGACATGACTTAGGATCGTGTTCTATTACCAAGGCAGGCATCAAACTGATTCATGGTATTTATTGGTCTGGACCAGTAACCAGTATATGATCTTGTTTACTAAGTTTCTTCCTCACCTCTAAGGCAAACCTCGTTTTCTAATTGACAATTTTATTGCTGTCTCTACTGTATTGCTAGTGGGCTGGTAGTAAAATGTGTTACTAAACCTGGAGGATGTCATTCTGGCAGGGTGGTGATCACATGAACCAGATGGAGACTGGGGAGCAGGCATTTGTAGCTGTACCTGTAATACTGGATCATGACAGGCTAGAATATCTTCAAGGATAAGTTTGCTCTGCGGAGATGAAATATAGTGGTATGACAGCAGCAATCAACCTAGCCTACATCTTCTTGGGAATGGTTCCAAATCCTCCACTTTTTATCAGGTGACCACAATTTCCAGGCTGCCACAAACGGTTGTACAAGGTTGTATGTATACTGCATATTCCTGTAAGAGGTCCTGCCCCATCATCCTGACCACAGCTGGTTGAGCTGCCTGGTAACATCGAGTCAGATTTAATCTCTGAAGAATTTGAACTAAGAGACTGAGGTAAGCAGCAGTCACCGGAGTTGTGAAGTTCCAGAGTTGGGTTCAGAGTTTGCACCATAGCAGCTCAAAGGCATGAACAAGCTGAGGCTATCGAGACAGGACTAACCTGACACCCTGTGTGAGGAAGCAGAAATGAAAAGTCCTTCTGAGAAACCAGACCACAGAAAGAGAATAAAGTAGATGCACAGATGATTATGTGTAGGAGAAAAACAAGGAAGAGACAGAGGGATAGCAGAAAACAAGAAATAGGGGACAGAGACAGACCTAGATAGAGACGGGCAGTCAGAGACATCTAGAGTAATTGCTGGTGACTTCCTAGATCCTACAATGTTGCACTATATTTCTGCAAGTAAGTTCCTGATATCTGATTTGTTTTAACAGCTTTCTTACAAGCTACCGTATTTCCCGGAAAACAAGACAGGGTCTTATATGTATTTTTCCTCAGAAGACACCCTAGGGCATATTTTCAGGGGATGTGTTATTTTCCCCTCAAAGCCTCAGGTTGCAGCACGCATAGGACGGCCAGGACCTGACTGGGGGGCAGGGGTGGGGTGGGGGAAGGGTCTGTGGCGACCTTGTTGGTGGGGCTGCCCGCATCTTTCCGGTCACCAGTGGGATAGTAGCTGTCACGATGGGCAGACGAGAAGGGGTGTTCGTCTGCTCCCCAACTAAATGCATGGGTTGTGCAGATATGCTGCGTAGCCATGCCCATCACTAGGTCTTATTTTCAAATGCTTAGAATTGTTCAAATTCTAAGCATTGTTCAAATGCTTAGAAATCTTCCTAGGGCTTATTTTATGGGTAGGTCTTATTTTTAGGGAAACACGGTATTTTAGGTAGATTTCTGATTCTTGCAACCAAATAATTTTTGACCTAAGCGGCTGCTCTATGAAAGACTTTTGACCTAACCATAACCACATCTTTTAAATGTTTAATTTGCAATTATGGGCAATATATGTACTGCCTGACATAACTGAGGTATTGTAAAAGTGAGGCCCTCAAGGGAGAGCACTATAATTTCTTCGTAACATCTTAAGTGCTGTCCAAAGATAGACCTTGTTTTACAATAATAGGTAACATTTACTGAACAATTCCCTTGGGACAATTTTAAACATGCAGGATCTTGCCTATTTTAACAATTAATGAAGCAGTTTCTATTATCATTCCCATTTCACAGACTAGAAAATTAAGTTACAAAGAGAGTTAAGCAACAGACCCAATAAAGAGATAAAGCAGGATCTATTGTTTATTTACATTAACACTGACATCTGAAAAAATAAAAAATTTTACACATGCACTTAAAATTCATTTCAGGCAATAAATTTTTGTTTAATACCTATTATATACAAAGTACTGCTTTAAACTAATAAACTGGTTAACACCAATATTATAAAGTCCTTTTAAATATCACTATCAAAATAAATCTTCCTTCCTGTGGTCCACAAAAGGCAAAAGATGCATCTGTATTTCAATTTCCAAATACCTCCTTTAAAACAGAAGGGAATAAATTCCAACAATACTATTTTCACTGCATTCATTATTCCAAAACTCATTAGAATATCTGAAGATTACTTTCTGTAAGCCAGAGTCATGTGAAAATAAACCTTGACTTCACAGAGAAGTCTACATTGATGAATAGATATCCATTTAATTAATTATAGTGTAAGTTACATTTATATAAAAAAGTAAAATGACAAGGATTAGAGTTTTTCATGGAAGGTGGTGAGTTGCCATGGAGTCTGCTTCTCTTGATTTTCTGAGGAGGGCTTGTTTGAGGGCACTAATTTTCTCATCAAGTTCAGCCAGTGAATAGTTCTGCTGTAAACAATAAGAACATAAATTGCTGAATAAGATTCTTAAGTATCCTAATGCAGATAAAGTGCTAAATGAACTATAAATATTTAAAATATTCAAAAGCAGGATACATTTTTTTCCTCATGAGAATAATTTTAAAACTGAACTATATCAAATTTCAAGGCACAAAATAACCAGGCTTAAATATTTCTATCTTTCTCTTTCCTAATGACTAAGCTTTCCTGAACTTTTTTTACTTTGAAAGAATAGTGAAAACTTTTTTAAAAACCTAACTACTCTCAATAGTAAAAAATTAAATAAACTTCAGGATTAGCATACATGCTTAAAATACCTAGAAAGTCTCTTTTGAGTGATCAACTGCAATCAACTACTTCTTCTGGAAAACGGCTGCTCTCAAAAATTTACTCAAAATTTATAATAAAAAAATATGTTATTCTTAAAAAATAAGCCAAAACATTTTTTAAAGTTTCCCCGAGGTTTAAATTTACATTACCACCTTTAACCACATCGGTATGAGCATCGACTATAGCCACAGATGAACCGAGTATCGACTTTAGCTGACAGCCGTGATACGACTTTTCTAATTTTTCATTTATCAATATAAAATTGTGAACATTTAAAAATAATGTAATGAAAACATATATGTATATGTTACCTATTCTGATTTACATTACAAGTAAAGCTGCCTGTAAAGTAAAACAAGCTTTCAGTGGTTTAAAGCTTTCCTCATCACACAAGAGCAAAATGGACTCGTCGTCAATGCACAGCACAAACTATCGTGAGGACTGTGAGTGCCGGCTGTGGGCAAGGTTTCCCGGCTGGTAAGCGCTGTACTGAAGTGGTTAAGGCAAGCAAAACCTTACTATTTAAGATTCAACTAATTAATAAATAGTACTTTGGACAGGTGTGGGCTGAAGTCAACCTCTGCCAAACACCCTTTTTTTCTTTAGATGTTGCTATTAGTGGTGTCCATAAAAGGAGGGAGGGGGAGGAGACTGAAGTTACTTGAATACTTATCATTTTTCTTTTACTTTTTATACTTTTTCTTATACTTTTTTCTACTGTTCTATTAAAAAGCAGGGTAAAGATTTTTATATTTGTTTATCCCATCTGAGTAATTCCATGCCTTTAAAATTATTTCTCTAATTCAAGTATATTAGTTTATACTGTCTTTTTTTCCATCTTAAATCTTACCAGAAATGATCTAAAAGTAATAATAGTAGAATCTTTATTAACCACTTCGGTACGGCGCTCACTGGCCTCGAAACCTTGCCCACAGCTGGCACTCATAGTCCACACGATAGTTTGTGCTGTGCATTGGTGACAGATCCGTTTTGCTCTTGTGTGATGAGGAAAGCTTTAAACCACTGAAAGCTTGTTTTACTTTACAGGCAGCTTTACTTGTAATGTAAATCAGAATAGGTAACATATACATATATGTTTTCATTACATTATTTTTAAATGTTCACAATTTTATATTGATAAATGAAAAATCAGAAAAGTCATATCATGGCTGTTGGCTAAAGTCCACGCTCGGCTGTGTGCCTTCATATCACGCTGTCCGCTAAAGTCGCTGTGCACGTTCATCCGTGGCAGGCTAATAAGAAAGGTATAAAACTAATCAAACTATTTCAGAAGCCAAAGTGAAAATGAAGTAACTTAACTTACTTGAGGTGGTTGAACTTTTCTTCTTTTTCCAGAAAAGTTCTAGATTAAAAGTAAAAAAAAGAAAAGGTAAGTAATTAATGTTTAAATAATCTAAGCATCAATTTTCTTTTATTGAATATTTTGTATGGTACAAAATACGTAGAGCCTTTGAGAACCCTGACAAAAATAAAACCCACCAACTCACCAAGCATTATCTGCAACTGACATCTACCTTTTGTATATCTGGAAGTTACCCTCAAAAGATGATGATGCTAAAAAAAATAGTAGTAATACTGCACAACATGCTCATCCCTGGCAATACAAACTTTCCCACTAATTGCCAGCTTCTAATGAGCCTAAGTGATTGTGTAAAGAGGTGTTCTAGGGATTTTCTACTTAGTTTCCTTTTTTATAACTTTTCCATCCCAGGATGTTGAACAAGTGAAACAAGAGCAGAGGAAAAGAATTTGGTACACCAGGCCAAAGAGTGAAAGCAGCACCCCCACCCTGACTGACTGTAACAGACACCGTGTTGTCTATGCAAGCAGCTATCTATCTGCTGCTTCTCTATGTGACTCAAGGGAATGGTGATCCTACACAATCATCTTGTTAGTGACTGAAATGAGTACAGGTCCAATTCTGGCCAATAAATAAGGAAAGTCTGCTGGAAATTAAGAGGAGAGCTTCTGGAAAAAGCTTCCTTACTTCTTTTGAAACAAAGTCCTCAAAAAAGAGTTTCCCTGGACACTTGTATCTGGATGAGATACCTGAAAGAGCTATAGCCATCTTGCCATCTTTCTGGGGAAGAAGTCAACACCAAGCAGAGCTGAGATGGGAAAGAACCCAATTCTTTTGAAATTCACAATTTAGCCACTGAATCAATTACCTCTGAAGATTATGCTACCAGTGGACTTACTATTTTTAAAGATAATTTCCATATTGCTGAACCACTTTGGTATGAGCGTCGACAGCCACGGATGACAGCCATCATATGAAGGCACACAGCCGAGCGATGACTTTAGCCAACAGCCGTGATATGACTTTTCTAATTTTTCATTTATCAAAATAAAATTGTGAACATTTAAAAATAACGTAATGAAAACATATATATTACCTATTCTGATTTACATTACAAGTAAAGCTGCCTGTAAAGTAAAACAAGTTTTCAATGGTTTAAAGCCTTCCTCATCACACAAGAGCAAAACGGATTCGTCATCAACGCACAGCACAAACTATAAGTGCCGGCTGTGGGCAAGGTTTCATGGCCAGTGAGCGCCGTACCAAAGTGGTTAAGCCAGTTTCAGTTCAAATTTCTTATAGCTGAATCTAACAACATTCTCACTAACACATTACTGAACCTTTTAACCTTGATATATTAAATTCTTTCCTGACTTTGTTCTTAGTTTCACACCACCACAAGCTTTTGAATGGCAAATTAGTAAATGAGTATATTTGACAAAGAAACTATAAATGTAGGTGGCAAAATTTTCTCACAAACATTTCTGACCACTGAGATTTAGATGAGAAGGTTAAAAAAACTCATATTTTCCTTTGTGGCAGATGTTGATTCAGAGAACATCTAGATATACCTCTTAGCAGTGGTTATAATAAATTAGAAATCATTAAGTTTTAGAATTATTAAATATGGAATAATAGAGCTCAGATACATATTCTCTCCTTTCTTTGACAAACTGAGCTGGATACCTGTGGTGGAGCCTATGAGCAGGTTAAGGGCTTAATGTTTAATTTGGCCATTGCTCAGTCTCCTAACTTCCCATGAGGTAGCTTTTTATACATCTGATGAAAATACACTTCCCCTTGTTCTCCTAACAGTTTAACCTGTAGGATATTGATAGTTTCTATGCCATTAAGCAATCAGATTATTACTGTATTATGAAACCAAAGTGAAAAATGATCAGAATGAGAAGAATAAGGACATCAGTGGCTCATTAATTTAAACATATAGTAAAATGTGGTCTTTGGGGCTTATTTTAGGTCTTAGCAGAGTATTTTGACAAGGGTAACACTTAGGAACACCACATCTACTATAGATAATCTAGACTAGTTTTAAAATTTATTTCAGGTATAAGGAAATCTCAGTATAGACAGTTCCTAACTTACAATGATTTGACTTTTTGAATTTATCATGGTGGCAAAGTGATATGCAGTCAGTAGAAATTGTACTTTGCATTTTGATCTTTTTCCTGGGCTTGTGATATGCAGTACAATACTCTCATGCAATGCTGGCCAGGGGCAGCAGCCACAGCTCCCAGTCAGCTGCAATCATGAAGATAAACAACTGATACTCTACAGTTTGTGCTGCCTGATAATTTTGCCCAACTGTAGGCTAACATAAGTGTTCTGAACACTTTTAATGTAGCCTAGGCTAAGTTATGATGTTTGGTAGGTTAGATGTATTAAATGCATTTTTGACTTACAATATTTTCAACTTACAATGGGTTTTTCAGATGTAACCCTAATGCAAGTCAAGGGGCAGCTGTATAAAAGGTAGAAATTTTAACAAATGTTGATGCCTGACAGAAAATATTTGAGAGCACAACACACTAAATAAAGTTGGACAGAGATAATTCAAAATTATCTCCTCTCCTAGCACTTTACCTTAGCAGGTACAGCCACACATCACTTAATGATGGAAATATGCTCTGATAAATGCATCATTAGGTGATTTCATCATTGTGCAAACAATAGAATGTATTTACACAAACCTAGATGGCACAGGCTACCTAAGCCACACACCTAAGCTATATGGTATTAGGCTACAACCCTGTACAGCATGTTACTGTACTAAATATTGTGGGGCAACTGGAACATAAGGATTAAGTATTTGTGTATCTAAACATATCTAACCATAGAAAAGATACAGTAAAAATACCATATTATAATCTTATGGACCACTGTAGCATATGTGGTCCACTGTTGACCAAAACATCACTATATGGAGCAAGGCTAATTTACAGATGTGTTTATAATGCCTGTGTCCTAATGAAAAGATACTACATTTATACTTCTAGCAACCAGTGCTATAAGGAAACTCAAGGCTAAGGAGGCCTCTTCCATGACCAACTTCCTTCCTTCTTTCTAATCAGGTGTAAAAGGCAATTGATCCTACACGTGCTAAGTCTTAAATGTTTGTTCCCTTTAGACCCAGTGCCCTGATTCAGACCTTCATTTTTCTCTGGCTTGGATAATGACATGTTTTCTAACCTATTAATAATTTCCTTGACTCCAATTTCTCTCCAACTCAGACTTTATAATGCTACCAGACAGGAACCTAAATTACAGGTTTCTCTTTCTCAAAACTTAATTGTGCTCCATTGACACTGGGAAGTGCAAACTGGGTAATGTAACATTGAAGCTTTACCAAAATGTGTTTACACTCTTAATTTTCCAGCTGTTCACTCATGCTTCTGGCTCACCACCCACTTTCTCTCTCTCACACACATACACACACACATGGCCTGTGCACATGATGATGACTTGGCCTTCAGCATTCTGCTCCTCTGATAACTTCCCTTTCCAATCAGGAGTTACCCTTATAGACTAAAAATTATGCCTAGGTCAGTACTTTGGAACAGAGAATATACCTTCAAAATCCAGTAATTAAGTATAAGCCAAATCCTATCCATTCATTCACACATCTACTTGATGTCTACTACATTCCATGTACTCAAAGATGAACAAGACACATTTCCTACCCTTAAGAGGTTCAAAATATAGTGTGAAAAGAGATGTGCAAATATGTAAGTGGTAAGTACTATAAAATGAACAAAGTGCTGCAGAAACATACTTGTAAAGCATGTTATACTTACTGTTTTCAAGTGTCATAATTTAAAATCAGTAATTCTTTAGAAACACATAAAGATCATATCTTTTATCTGTTAAGTCATGCCCTTAAACTTTTGAAAACATTACCACATTACAATCTTTCCATGTTTAATGTTGAGGGTAAAGATCTTTAGAACTATTGCATTAAAAGGTACAACAATATTAACCCTTGTCATAATTCCTGTTTTATATACATTACACCTTATTCTAGAATTTTATGTCTATTTTATAAAATGAAAAGAACTTTACATAATCTGATTTTGTTTTACAAAGTGAATACAATGTACATCTTTTTCTTTTAACGTTCTCCTCTTCATATGTCCATATGCTTCAATGTTACCCATGATAATCTCTATGCAACTGTAAGAAGCTGCCCCATGTTTAGAATTCCTCTACATGTGAATTTGGATCAAAAAATTTCAATTTAAAAACTTTTCAGAGTTCAGAAGTTACAACAAAAGTGCAATCCTTAATAAATTGAATGGGCTCAACTTTCTTACTTTCTAACTTTAGAAGCTAGAAGATTGCTACATATGTAGTCTCTTCTGTATACCTTTGAGGGATAAATATGTAAAATTATACAATAACCATGCGTATACTCCCAGCATGGTGATGTAGGGTATATATGCTCAACTCCTCCCATGTGCAAGGACAATCCGAGAGCTGGCTCTATTCCAAGCGAGGAATGTAGTTCGTAGAGATGGCTCATTCATTCTGCTACAGAAGGGTTGAGTATAAAATCTACTTTTCTAACTTAGGGTTTGTGCCATATATGTTCATAGGCCTACAGGACAGAATCAGTCTGAATGTTTATCTGAATATGTCACTTCTGACATTAATTCAGAAGTGGTTCTTTTAATCAAAGATATATTGTTTTTAACACACTTGCACGTATTTTTAAAAAGCACAGTTTTATCATAGCTTGCCATTATTCACCCTTTTCTGAATGCCTATCACAGCCAGGCCATTCCTGTTTATATTTATAATGCTTCCCACTCTGAAGACCAGAGGAATAGAGTTACTTAACCATGTTTATATAGCCATTTCACAGATGGTTTCTGAAAATAAATGCTAATATTTACTGAGGTTTTTACCACATGCTAGCAGTGTGCTAAGTGTCTGGTCAACACTGACTCATTTAATCCTTGCTTCAGCCCTTAGTATTTTTATAAATCTCATTTTTACATTTTAGAGCAGTAAATCACTAAGACACCTGCTCGAAATTTTTGTCATTTAGGACTTGTTGCCCCCTCCCTTTTGTCATGTGACCTGACTTCTGCCTCTAGAAATACTTCTTTTCTGTACCTCACTCTAATATCTAATTTATAACTTCAGAAAGATTACTCCAACACCTAAAATGAATTTTAAATATATTTTCACCAGGGACTTATATGATCCATACTGAAATGAGCTATTTTACATAATTTTTTAGAAACAAGAGTTTCTAAACTCTTTTAGCATAATCTTTTATTATTATTTTAGTTTTAATGTGGCATTTCCTAAAAAAAACTCAGAAAAGGCAGGTTATAGATAATCACCTCAGAAGACTAAGAAAATAAGTTAACAAGAGCTCAGGATTATTTTCTGAAAAATGCTGAGGTGCCAAAGAAGATAGTTACCAGCACAACACTGTTTCTTAATTTTCTTAGAAAAAGGGGTAAGAATAAATGAATGAATGAATGCTAGAATTAAATAATTAGATAAATATAGACTAGTCTTTCAAAAAGTATGGTGGTTATGATAAAGATAAAGAGGGTGGCAGCTTGAGGTGTGTGTGTGTTTAGTATGGAGAAATATAACCGTGTATATTTGAGCGAAGGAGGGATTAAAGAGACAGAAGGGATAAGTGCCAGAGCAAGATCCCAGAGGAAGCCTTTGTTTTACAAGACAGTACAGAATGACAGGCTCAACCACTATCCAGGCTGATTCCTTACGCCATGAAAATGGCCTATCTTTGAGAATTTGGGTATTATATAAAAAATATTCAGAATCAGAATTTCTGAATAGATAGATATGCCCCTACATAGAACCATGTTCACTCACCTTTGAATTATTGTGGGTTTTTTTGCATGTAGATCAATGAGTGAACTGTTAAATTACAAAGAATTCTAAAATAAAACATTTTTATTTCTTTTTAAGAGATACTTATACTCACCACAGATTGAAAATATTCAGGAGAGATACCTTCCAATTCAAGGATTTTATCCTCAAGTTTTTTAATTCTTTGATAAATGTCTCTTGGCACGGGACCACCTAAATACATTAAAAATTTTTTGAGATACTATTGAATAATTCTTTTTTTCTTATAATTTTTACTTTTAAAATACCATGCAAAGATACTTATGCAAATGAATGAGAAATATTTAAACTTCAGAAAATAAAAACAAAAGTAAAATAGAATAAATTCCTTAGCTCATATTTTCAAATTATACACTACGGAATATATTATACTACATCCCCTCTCTCCAGACCCCATTTATGCTTCCTATATTGCTAGAAACTTTATTTTATGTTAAATTCATTTTATAAGATATTGAATAGTTTCCATACAGAACAATTTGTATTTCTGATAGGCTTTGATAGTTACAAGAGAGGAATAAAATACATAGTGATAAATGACAATTGAATTCCATTACTGCAATGTCATATCATTATTTTCTTCAATTTATATTTCTCCCTATATGCCATATTTTCTCCTTTGACCTAGAAGTATGTTAAAAAGGGGCTTTACTGTTATTCTAAATTAATAAACTTTCTGGAGAGAGGGATAGTAAATTAAGGTCAAATTTCAAGTTTATGATTATATTCAGAATCCTTCCACTTCTCACCACCTCCACAGTATAACCATTCTGGTCCAGACTACCACCATCCCTCCCTGTTTCTGCCTTGCTTCCATAGAGTGTATTCTCAACATGACAGCCAGTGATTCTTTCAAAATGTAAGTCAGAATCATGCCACTTCTCTGCTCAAACCTTTCCAATACCTTACCATTTCCTCAGATTAAAAACCAAAACCCTTACAATGTCCTACAAGGCCCCACACAATTTGGACATTCTCCCTATACCCATATAGTTCTAGCCACTTGATTACTTTTTCGGCCAAGCACCCCATCAGCTTTAGCAACTGTGGTTCCCTTTACCTCTATATTCCTAAGACTTATTTATTCCTGCCAACTCCAGGTCCTGGCTCAAAAGTTACCTTTATCAGTAAGGCCTTCTCTGACCATCCTTTTAAAAATACCAGTAGTCCTACTATCTCACACTACCCAGCACTCCCTATCTTCCTTAATTTTTTCCATACCCTTACTGCCACCCAACATTCTGTAGATTTTGTTTATTCACTGTCTCCTCACTCTAATTAAGTTCCAAGTGAACAGAGAGTTTTATTGGTTTTGCTGAGTTTTCATTGGGTATTGCTGTGTAGCTTGTGCATCACACAAAGCCAGGAAGCATCAGTTCATAGACTACAATGCCTGGCACAGAGCAGATGCTCAGTATTTACTGATTGAATATATGATTAGATAATCATGCAATAAAAGAATGTGTAAATTTTTATATCAAAAGTATCAACTTGTTAAATATAAAAACTCTAGAAATATATTTTTTTCTTTTTGACAATGTGTTTATCTTAGGACCCTGATAGTTCTTCTGTTAAATAAAATAAAATGAGTAACTTGTTCATCTGACTTTGCTCTTGCTGCTCCCTTTATTACCTACAATGTCCTCTGTACCCTGTACCTACTGAGCTGGTTGCGGTCCAAGCCTGAACATCTTCACATGGAGGCTCCAAGTGCCCACCATTCCTGTCTTCACTGCCCCTTTACAATTCTACTTTACCATTAATCTTTCTCCCACATAGTTTATAGTCACTGGAGCCAGAGAATATAACTACATCTCAATATTCCTTGTGCCTAAAATAGTGTTTGGCACATAGTAAGCATTCAACAGATATTTTTCCAAAAAATAACTACTTGATACTTTTAGAGACTTAACCAGTCAATCTTTTATATAGTTGCATTTTAAATCCATCTACTTCTGGAGGGAATTAATTCTTAATGCTAATGTCCTATTTCCCTCAAAAGCTTACTCATTTTCTTATCTTCTTTTACCTCCATCCAACAAATATTCTAGGCTGGACTAGATTCTGAAATTCTCTGAACCATTTTGTGTCCCTGTCCTTTTTTTAAAAGCTGGTCCTTCTTTATGGAATGCTTTGCTCCTGCTGTTCTCTCTTTTGATTCTCTTTTTTGCTTTGCTCCAGAAAAATTCCTACTAACCTTCAAGGGTTCAAAAGTTACCTCATCAAGGATGCCACCCCCTTGACCTCCCCTGAGAGAATCTTAACACTAACTTTGCGTCCCACTGTACTGTACACATATCTAAAAAGGTGAAATGAGCAATTGTTCACTCAATAAACATTTGAGCACTTGCTTTGAGCCAAGTGCTATACTAGGTACAGAGTAATGAATATGACATAGTTCCACTCTCACAGACCTTACTATTTCGCAGGGTAAACAGAAATTAAACAGAACCATGATAACTGTTTTAAAGGAGGGCAGAGAGTACCAAGTACTATGAAACTACATAAAATAGGAATCTATACTGGTCTGGGAACAGGAAGGAAAAGCATATATGGAAGGAAGAGCATGAGTATAAGGACCTCAGGGCAGCAAAATGAGCGGAAGATGGGAAGCCCAGAGATGTGGCTGGAACTACAGGCGTGGACCACACTATTTAAAATTACAACCTCCTCTGATCCCAATCTCTGAATTTTTAGCTGGGGAGAAACAAGATCAGATTTCAGTTTTAGAAAAAGCAATTTGGCCATAGGGTAGACAATGATCTAGAGGAGAAAGTCTAATGGCGAGCAGACCACTTACTATCCTTCCATCAGTCCAAGGCAGAGACCATAGTGGCTTCAACTATAGTAGTAGCATGGAGATAGACAGACGTGGGCGGATTTAAGAGATATTTAGAAGGCAGAATCAAAAGGACATGGTGACTAAATGGGGAGGTAGACTCAGGTTCTGCAGCCAGTTAACATCTGGATTTGATTTCCAGTTGTCACTTACTATCTTGGGCATTTTGCTTGAGCTCTTTGAACTTCAGTTCCTTTATCTACACAATGATAAAATAACAGCACCAGTATCTTGAAAGGGTACTGTTCACGTATTAACTGATCTGAAATATACATAACACTTTCTGGGTGACTGGCACTTACTACAGTTCAATAAATGCTAGTTCATTTTTCCTATGGCATTTATTTATTTATATGCTTATCCCCACTGAGAGATCCTTGAGGACCAGAACATTTATAAATACTTTGTACCTAGCACAGTGGGTGATAAGAGTAAGAAGTGGTCATGGTAAGTTATGAAATTGATGATAGGCAAAGACTACATTAGTTTTCAGCTGTGACTTCAATAAACTTAGACTATCAAGATCTATTTGGAACCTGTACACATTCTACTAAGACTCTCTCAATTTTAGAAAATGGCAAGAAATGTGAGAGAAGGAAGAGCATATACAAGAACCGTGTACTCCTTGAGAAGAATACTTTATTTTTGTATCAACCCAAAAATGCTTTATACATGATAGGCACTCAATGAAAATTTGGTGACTAAATGAATTGGAATTTTGTAACCACTTGAAAATTGTGGAATACCATCTGCCACTTTGCTTACCTGTCTGTAATCGCAAGTGAGCCTCAATATTTTGCAGTCGTTCTTCTACAGCCTGATTACCACAATCTCGAAGCATGCTATTAGGTTTATGACCCGACCCTTGAATTCCTTCAGGTCTAGTCTGTGGTCCATATGTATTCACAACTCTAGAAACTAAATTAAGAAGCTTTTGAGCCTATGCAAATTTATATTTCAAAATAAAAAACTCTCTCTAATAGTATTTTATAATCTTTTCATAAAGATCATCTAACCACAAACCCAACTATGAAGAATACAAGAGTTTTTGTGTTGTTTTGAAATAAACAAAATTTAGATGGGAAAGCTATTTCTATTCCATTTTGCTAATAATTTAGAATAAGCTACCAGTGACTCAGGTATTACATGGTGGTTACTTACCCTTTACGTGACTTTTAAATCCGGGGTAAGGGGTAAAAACAGCATCAGTTCTTGCACAACTATTTTCTAAGGAGAATTTAGATGAAAATAAGTTTAAATGCATTCTTCACTTCAAATGTATGAGATTTTGATAAACTTCCAATAATCCATATATTACTCATAAGAAAATTTTAAATAATAATCATTAAATCACCATCACACAGGACAGAATTTAGTTACCTTCTTTACCCTCTAAAATGTATCACAATATCTAATATTCTTATTTAATGTTCATATTTACATACAGAAAAGCCATTAACATTAAGTGGCATAATTTAGCACAATTTTTAATGAAAACCAATACCTCTAAAACCATTTGGGCCTTTGGAGAAAATAATATATATTATGGAGTATCTTAATTCTGCTTCATTGTAGAAATAAAATTCATCATTTTTACTAAAATATCTTTTTTTAAAAGCCCAGCATTTTTGATATTACTGACCAAATTAATGAACACCCAATAAAAAGGATTAATTACACATTAAACACCCTTTTTATTTCAGAACTCCACACAAAGACCTTAAAATCTGCAGTACACATCCCTTTCCACTCTGCCTAGATTTCCAGTGCTTATTTTAAAAACCTCTAATCACAAAAGTCATCTACTTCTTCATCTTACCGCTTTCAAAAAATGCAATTTTAGGAAAAGATATGTTGCAAAAATTTGGTCCTATTTTTTTCTAAGCTGAAAAGTAGAGTTTCTTTCAAATTAGATAACAAGAAATAAATTACAAAGGGAAAAAACTGGAAAGATGTTAACATACACTACTACTAATTTTATTTACATAATTATGTTATATAGGATCATAACATGATACACTATAGTAATAATAATATACTAATGTTTAAAATAACATTAGTAAAACCATGCATTGGCAATAAATTTCCTGCAAAATTCTCTTGATTATTATATAAAAATTGGAAGGAAAGTGAGATATTGAAAAAAAATTATTTTGTTTCCTATGGAATTTGATTTTTTAAAAATCCACTGTTTAAATTTAGGTCACATTGATAGGTATTAAAAGAAAAACATTAACACATTAAAATACATTTAATTTTTTTCAGTCTAAGTTTCCTTAATAGCTCTGCTGATAAGTTAATTTGTGTGATATAAAATTCCAAATCCACTTATCTTTGACTAACAGAGAATCATCTTTTCTTTTTCTTTTTTTTCTAGAGATACCTCAAAATATCCTTAAAGGGTCATCACTTCTCCATTCTCTTTCTACCATTTCTTGGGGCTAAGGGTTAAAAAAAGAAACTATCTTCCATTCTGGAGCTATATTCTAAACATATAGATTAACTGACCCATCAGTGAGAAATTCAGCATGGTGTGAAGATAGTGAATGTATGAGTGCTAGTCACTCTCCACAGCAATTCTTGCTAGCACTGTTTTGAGCCAGCAAGGGATTGAATGGGCCAAGGAATCCTGCTGAGCATTTCAATTCTTGTCAATTTCTATCCCCTGGTGGTTTATAATAATAGAGTTAGCAAGGAGAACAGAGGAATAACATTAGTGACACATGTGCTTGCTCCCTCAACAAACCCGTTCTCATGGGTTGCTTACAGTTGGATTATAGTACCTGAGATTTTGCCTCTGTTGCACTTGTTCTGAAAAGCTTAAGAGGAAAATATACCAATTTCAAAGATATACATGTATAATGTTAACAGTAGCACCCACCTGAACTTAGGACCCAACCTGAGCCTTTGTTATTTCATTATTAAGAGAATCAGTGTGCCAATGTGATACAAGTCACTTCTAGCTTCATCCGACAATTCTGTATTCATGATAATTAGCCATGAGATATTAGAGGCAACAAGAAAAATGTTCATTCCAATTATGAACTCTTCTCCATAATTTTTTCTAAGAACTACTTGTTCTGATTATTACTATGATGCCTGATCTATAGCAGTGCTTTGCAATATTTTGTATTCTGCAGCATACCTGCAGATCTGTAAACATACTATAGCATCAAGTGGAGAAGAAAAAGGGAATTTGATGAAAAACAGTGAATGTATGCACTATGGGAGAATGGAAAAAGCATAAGATGCCATGGTCTTCATGACAAATCCGTTGTATCATGACATAAAACGTTTCAAATAGCTCAAGAGTATTGAGAAAACTCTCCCTCTGGAGGAATATTAACTCTACTGAGTTTACTTTATATATTAACCTTAATTTCAGAAGTACATTTACAGGCTTGAAATTTATACAGCTCAGTTCCTTTAGTGAGACTGAGCAACCCTGCCACCCACACTTCACCTTCATTTCCTGAAGGAATTTTAAAATAATCTTTCACCTGTGGTAAACATTAGCCTTTGTGTAAAAGCATTTATTTGATTTCTGTGTAACCAAAATGAAAACCAGTTTTACAATCTAGTCTATTATTAAGCAGAAGGAAATTCTACTGCCTTACTTACTAATTAAAACTGGGAAATAAATTGTGTTTTAATGTTACTCATTTTAAAAAATAAATGAAAAATTAGAACAACTATAAAAATTGCACTTAAAATCTTATGAAAATTAACTTCTAGGTAGTTACCTTGATTACAATCAATAACATTGCAAAATTCCCTGACGTTGTTTTCATTGATTTCAGCTTGCTTTCTTTCAATAAATGCAGATATTCGTCTGTCAATCTACAAACAATAAGTATGTTTTAACAATATAAACATAATGAGATTTTTAAAAAAGTAATACCCTCCCACTCCCCCATCCCCCGCAAAACTTCTTACTTCTGCTTTTCCAGCCTTTATTTGAACTACTTCTGGATCAAAATGGATCTGTGTCTTTTTCACATCTCCTAAATCACAATCTTTGTGCTTTTCTTCTTCTTGTAGGTCCCCAATAGAAAATTTGGTGTTTATTTCATTTTTGTTCCCCATGTCTGTTTTTCCTATGTCTTCACAAGCAGTTGTATTCTCCTCTTTAATCAGAGGCTGAAGTTTTGCTAAAAAAGGCTGAGAAGAACACAGTTCCATCTGCAGGGGTTCACACTAACCAAAATTAATTACACATTTAATACATTTACATAAATTTCTGCTAAGCAAATGAAATATTTAATATCAACTATTAAATATAAAAGTGTTACATCAGAATACATAAATCTGAGCACATATAAGTGTTTACTGTTCTCTGTTAATGTGGCCATTATCATTTGCTATAAATTTATTTAAAAAAAAGAAAGAAAGAAAGAAAGAAAACCTGAGGAAATTTAAAATTTTCTTTGAGGGAATCATTCTGTCACTCATCTTTTATTTTGTGCCAAATCAAAGCCTTCAGCCTCTGGCACCAATGCCACTTAATTAACATGTCATTCAAATGCCTCCTCAGAACACTAAAGCTTAGTATTTTTCCTCCTTAACATAAGAGCCAGTGCTCTCACTCTGCAAAGCCCTGCATTATCACTATATCACTGGAGATTCTCCACTTGAAACTGCAGTTGGCCAATGTGAATGAGAAAGCATAGACATGAAATATATAGGTGTTATGCTGAGTGAACACTCAGACTTTTCCTGACATGGCAAAATATCTTCTTGGATCATGAAATTAAATTTTAAAAAAGAAAATGGACAAGGAAAAAAACCCTACCAAGATCCATAGCTGAAAGGAGATAAATGTCACCTATCACTATACTAGAGGTGGGAAAATACCCTTTCGGATGAGTTATATTACCCATTTATGCCCCCGCCTCACCCAATAATTAGGCCTTATTTGAGTTCTATGGCTCAACATTCTGCCCTTTAAAAACCAGGTTAACTATTACTTTTAACATGAAACACAGAGTTAAATTTTCTCACAATGTCATTGAATGGAGGGCTACATTAATGCCTATTCCATTAGTCAAAACATACTAACACTTATCAATGTTCCAATTATTTTTTTCATACCTACAATTTTGCTTCCATTGTTGCCTATACCAAATACTCTTCTGAAACCTTATAACATGTTAATCACAGTAAACTGACCAATCCAAACAGTTCTTTCACTTAACTTCTTGACACTTCACATTTTACACTTTGATTAGGGATAAACTGCAAACTTACATCAATTATAATTGCAGAGATGTTCAATTAGAAACCAGCAAGGTCACAATACTGTTCAGTTATTAAACTGAAATATTAAAAGACATAATAATACTTTATAAATAAAAACACAATGTTGACTTATATGTAAAGAATGAATTATTTTCAACTGCTAAGAAAAAGAAAAGATAAAATAGTGACTGGCTACTAAGATGAGACATTAATGTCACAGAAATTACTTTCTTTTTAAAAACTATGCTGAAACTGTTTAATTGCAATAGACACTCCAGGATGTGTCATGCTGGGATAATGCCACTTCTTGAACCACTGAAAGCACTCCATGAGCCTCCAAACTCACCCAAGGCATGGAATCATTATCATAGCATGACACACACCTGCCGTGTCTTATTGCTTAATTATAACCCACCATAGATGGAACAGTATTGAATTTTCAGTGCAAGTTTAGAATTGAATAGAGTTGCATTTGTTCAATCTCATACTCACATTGGCCTATTGGGCTATACTGCCATAACTGTCCTGATCACTACTGAAATTAACAGATTTAGATCCAATTTGGATGTAAGTAACCTTTTATTAGTATCACTATTAATACAGTGTTAAGATAGAAATGACATATACTCCAGCAAATTTAACCACAATTAATTTCTATTTTCAATATTGAGTTAACATTTCTAACAAGAAATTTACCTGTAAATATAAAATGTGTTGCTCAAGTGCACTAAAGAGCAATGCAGGCTGGAATGCTGAGAGGCTCTGGAGCTTGTTCCAATCGATTGTAATTTTCACCACATCATCTCTGAGGCTAAGCTTCAAAGGGGCAAACCAGTAACATCACAAAAATTACAAGATTAAGCTGTACATATGGGATTGTCACAAAAACAAGATTTCTATGGAGTAACACATGTCTATTTTGCTCAAAGTTATCAAGTTTTTAATGATACGTTAAAATGTTCTACCCATTACCATTTTAAAAGGCCAATAAGGTACATATTTTCATTAAAAACAAAAACAAAATGATACCTCACTCTGATTCTATTCTTGGGTCTGTGTAATGGGACCACTTTAGAAGAGAAGCCATTCATGAAAGATGAAAATATGAAGGCTCTCTTGATACTTCAATATCTAAAAACCTTTGGATGGGGTCCAAAATAGGCTTGCCTTATTCAGATTCCTACTACTTCTAGCTCAGAGCATTAACCAGCAGAAGCACAACTGTTTTACAAAAGTTCTAATATGCACATGTCTCTTTGTTAAATATGTGCACAAATACATATCAGAAATATATAATTATTCTGATGTCCTCCGAATCACATTATTGTTTTCAACGTTAACCAATTTTTAAAATAATTTAAAAATCAAGATTATTCATACATATACAGTCTAGCGATAAATGGCAACATGTTTATCTACTTCAAATAAAAAACGACTTCTCCACAATAGTGAAAAAATTGCCAGAAACCTAATGGAATGTCTAGATCTTTTGCTAAATACTATTTTCTAATAAGATGTAAGGGCTCATTATATGAAAATTTCTTGTCAGTTGGTGATATGATACAATAAAATCATACCCAGAAAACTACCAAGAATCTGAATATAAAATTAGTATCAAATCAGTGAAAATATTAGAGTGAGAGCCTCCATCTGCAGTTTTTTGAGGGAATAAAATTGAACTACCACAAACTTTTCTAGGGACATGTGTGTATAGCATAGCATAAGGATATACTCCAAGCAGAATCAAGTTAACTACATTTTTTCAGAAATAATTTATTAAAAATTAGTCATGTTTTCTACAAAATAAAGTGTTACATAAGTTCAAATACAGATTTATGAGTTGTAATTATAATAAAAGAAAAAGATAAATCACTATACAAGGATCAAACAGATCCAAAGTTACCAATAAAAAAGCAATATATTGAAAAATGCTATGTGGCAAAAATTTGCCACCCTTTGAACATGAAACCAGAAGTATTTGAAGTCCTTATTAGAAAAGTGTAAAGAAATATGAAATCCTCTGTTGGCTGTACTGGCAAAGATAACTTTATATTAATTTAATTAAGATTTTTATATTAAGATTAATGCATTAACCTTAATTTATATTACTTTAATGCCTATAAAGATTTTGTTAGTCAACATATATTACGAATGGAAGTAACCCATTATTATAATTGTATAATTCTTAATGAGATCTATAGACAATTATAGCAAATTTATGACTATGGATGGTTTGGGGATAAAGCAGACAAAACCTCAACCAAAGGAAAGTATCACATTTTCTAGAGAAAATAATAGAAAACAAGTTTTAATGTTTGAATCACCTTCTCATTTCAATTCAACAGAACTACTAATTACAAGTGCAATTAAGAATACCTGGTCTTTTAAGAAAACCACATAATAATGTCACAAATTAATTTTAAAACTTTCCCAATACATTTGACCATTCATTCCACAAATTCCCTATTAGTAATATTAATTCTATGCATTTTCCTCCTAGAGAACTTGGAATAGTAAATAATCCACTCAAAACTCTCTATTAATCTGTTATTAATATAGACTACTTAAACATACATTTCCAGTAAAAACCTTCTTTAAATTAATACAAAAACCAAAGCTAAAAATAAATAATTCCTTTGCTTGGTAAAACGGGCCATCCAGAGGCAAGTAAAAAAGGTTAAAATTAATAAATTTTGTGAGCTGAAGTAGAAAATGCTTTTAAGCACTCAATTTTATGTTTCCTCCTGAGGAGAACTAATAATACAATGATACTGAGGATGATGCAGGATGCACTTAGGCATATTACAACATACATTTTAAAAATCATTTAAATTTGGTGCAAAAGAAAATACTGATTCTTTTGGGGACCATACTGTAAGTATGGTACTCTGGCTCTCATTCTTAGTATTTCTCAAAAAACTGAGTATTATCGAAATGATAAACATTTAATTAATGAGACAATCTTATTTTTGACACTTGTATAATACCGGAAGGTCCCTTCACTGTGTCTCAGTAAACTCACAAAACATTTACCCTAAACATTTTTTACAGGTGACTTAAGTAAATTTTAATCACTCCTTTACTTGTACCTTTAGAATACCTGAATGTTTAAAATTTTTAAATGAGCTTGAAAAACTCAGTATGCAAAATATTTCAAAATAAATGTTTAAGTCATTGCTCCATATTAATTTTTAAAATCATTCCATCAATGAAAAATAAACTTCTGTAAGTAATAGGTGAGTGTAAACTTTTTTTGTCTTGACATTAGAATATGAATAAAATTTAATGCTCCAATCTTGCCATAAAAAGTTCTCTAACTTTTAAACCATTTAAAGGCCTTGAATCTTAAGGCTGAAATGTTAGTAACAGAAGTCCCCAAGTCTTTAAAAATTTTTTTGGTAAGTCCTTGGCAAAAAATTGAGTTGAAAAGTTGAATCTTTTAGGAGATTCTATTAATAATTGCTTCATTACACAAAACTGAATGTTTAACTAGCAGTACTGTTATTTGTAAGTCACAAGAAACATGCTAAGAGTTTTTAGAATATCGAAATAACTTTTTAAAAGATTGTTAATCCACTTACGCCTTCTAAAAATGATTTTCACAAACGCTCTATTTTCATAGGAATTTACCATTATTTTTGACATAAAAACCTGCTGTGTCTCCTACATGCACGAGTACCAGCACCAAAACAAACTTTTATAGCTAGAAAATGGTCCATAAGATATAAAAGAAAATATTTCCTTTTAAAAAGCAGTTTAACAAACATACTTTTAAGTTGTTTCTCATTTAAAATTTGCTTTTAATTTTACATCATGAAACAAAATACTAACTTGATCGAATAGAGTGTAAGGAGCCCGTTTTTTAAACCCAGTTTTACTATGACGTTTCTGCAAAAACGATTTATTAGCCAGTCAAACTAGTAAATAGTTAAACAATTAAACGACAGTTCTAATGCAAACAGCATCAACCATGGATAAGTCATCGAAATTCACGCTATTTTAAATGAATTCCTTTTACTTTCCTTCCCGTTTGTAAGGGTTAATAGATGTACACAGGGGCCAGAAGGAGAAAAGAAAAAAACAAAACTAAGTGACTCATAAAAGCAAGCCACCCTAAAAAAAAAAAAAAGGCCGAGAGCGCTCTGCTCCTAAAATCTCAGGCCGCACTGACCCACCAATTCCTATAATGAATAAACTGGAGGAAAAAGGACGCTGAGCTCCAGGCGCCTCCTAAAGCCTCAATGAAGCTTTTTCGCATTGTCTCCAAGCCTGCTCCTCGCGGAGCCGGGTTTTTACTTTAGATCACCCTCACTTACTCCAGGGGAGAACAGCTGCAAAGTAATCTAGTCTGCAACCCGCACTGAACTACGCCTACACGGCCGTCCCCCCATCCGGCCCGAGGCGGCTGGGCCCGGGTTTGCCCCGGGGCAGCATCCCACACTCCCGCAGGCCTCGGCTGCCCCCGCCTTTGCTAGAGGAAAAACAGGGGGGAGGGGCCGGATGGTTACCCTGCCTTCAGTCCCTCAGGCCACCTCTCACCTTTCCAGGCAGGGCGTGCAGGGAGCGAAAGACTTCGCAGAGCACCTCTCGGGAGAGGCTGGGGCTGCAGCTTCTCTCCAGGCTCCTGTCACCGCTGTTCGGGCGACTAAGCTCCGTGGCAGCAGCCATGATATCTTCGCAGGCCGCTCCACCACCACCGCCACCACCAAGGTTCACTCACAACCCCACCCCCACCCTCTCCTGCTTTCGTCGCTCAGCGATTACGTAAAAACAGCGTCTCGTTTAGACTGGGCATTAAGGCCCCACCCTTTCTATATGACTGACAAGCTCGTACGCCAATCAGGTGCAACGACATATTGCGCTGCGACTCTGAAGCGGGTAATTGCTGACGAGCGCTATGCTGGATGCTATTGGGAGATTTGATTGAAGTCATGGTGTGTTAAGGGTTAGTGTCACGAAGCCTACCTTGACTCATAGACGTTTATGAGTGTTGGTAAGAAGAGACTTATAACTAAATGTCAGAATTTGAGCCCTAAAAATTGAAATTTTAACCTGGTGGTGTGGAGTGGATCTGGAAAAAGACTGCTGGTCAGGGATGGAGTGTGTTTCTAAACACTGGAAAACTCACCCAGAATTGTCATAATTAAACGTTTTAATCTCTTCAAGGTTGTTTAAAACATATATAAATCAACACGAGTAAGTTTTCATGCGGGGGAGGGCTGGATGTAAAAGAATAATAAAAGTGCTCCATTATGCCTCATTTATAGTAATAAAGGGAATGACATTAACAATCTTAAATCTGTAAAATAATTTACGTCAAATTTTAAAACGTGCATCAGTTGCTATTATCTGGGTGATAACTGTAGAGATACTCAACCCGAAAATTGTTTCAAAGAAGTGAAACACTGTCAATATGATTCCAACAGGAATTTAACCCAAATAAGTAATATCATGCAACCACAATCTTTGAAATTAGGAGGACATAAATTTGAACTGAAAATTGACAAAGTGTTATTTACCCTGTAGCTTTATTATAAAGATGTTTGAAGAACTTTGTAATCTTTTAGTCAGACTCTTAACATTAAAAAAAAATTATCCAATGAAAAACAAGTTTAAGAAGAATTTTTAGTGTTAAGCTCTATTCCAAAATACTTTAAATATATACATTATCTGTTTAGAGGTAAGGGATGAGGGATTTAAAGCTCTTAATTCTAATAGACTAATGCATTTACATTAGAGGAAGTAGAGGTGGAAACTCACGCAATTGTGTATTCTTTAGTTTTAGAGTAGACTGAATGAAAGGGAAGGAATAAGGCATCAAGAAACTAGGAGAAGGACAGTAGGGATAAAAGAACTCCTTTGACCTGTCCCTAGGGAGTCTCTTAATTAGGTTTTCATTTCCAAAGACGTGTGGGATCGGGAGGCTTGACAGGATCTTGAGAAATCTTGCCTGTTCCATTGTTAGCAGCAGGATATACAAATGATAGTCCAGCCTATGTCTAGAGACAGAAAAAAGACTTCACAACATCCAGTCCCATTCAAGCCACTCATCCCCATATCTAACCTAAATTCATGATTCTTTGCAATGTTAGCATATTTTATTTTTCCGTTATTTTCTTGTTATTGGGGAATCATTGTAATGGGGTAACTAGAAGTTTTTTGTTCTGTGCCAAATTAGCAATCAATCAATTCCAGATCATTTGTTTTCATCAGGGATATGAAGTATTTTTTTCAAATATGCAGGATACTGGTATGCAGCACATTTGGGAATATGCTTTGTACATTAGAAGAATACTATCTTTAGAAGGGTACTGCTCATTCTTTTCTTTGCCATTACTGATTTTGAAATTTCAAGTTTTACTTGTTCCCTTGAATCCCTAATACAGAATTAACTGATGGACATTTGATTTGTATATGAATTCTCTATGTAATTCTGTGATTCAATATCTAGACTTTAAATCTTAGTGTTCCTTACTTAGGTATAGGTTGAATATCCCTAATCTGAAAATGTGAAATCCAAAATGCTCCAAATTCCAAAGCATTTTGAGCACCAGCACCATTAGGGGAAAATTACACACCTGACCTCACATGATGGGTCACAGTCAAAACTTTGTTCCATGTACAAATTGTTGAAAATGTTATATAAAATTACCTTTAGTCTGTTTGTATAAGATTTATATGAAATATAAATAAATTTCATGTTTAGAGTTGGGTACTATCCCCAAGATATCTCATTGTATATAAGCAAATATTTAAAAAAAGAAAAAAAGAAATCTGAAACACTTCTACTCCTAGGCATTTTGGATAAGGGATACTAAACTTGTAATACTTTGAATTTGTTAACTCTTTTGTGCATTATTTCTTCTTTCTAAGACCTTTCTTATTCCTTCCTGATGCCTATTACCTTCATTTTGGAAATTTTTCTCATTTTCTTCTTTTAGTAGCAAATTCTATTCTAAATAGAAGAGTTTGTAGGCTGAAAAGATATGGATTCCTTTGGGCTAACTCCAAATAGAAATTTATAGATATTGTATGTATGTATGTATAACAAAAATATAATAAAAGCTATGAAATTTAGAAAAGGAATAAAGGAAATAATTTGCCCTTTATAGAAAACTAATTACAGTTTATGAAACGGGTTGCTGAAAAATCTGCTGCCTGGCAGAAATGATTCAAAGTGTTGGTGTTGGCATTAGCAACAGAGTTAGAAATACTGTCCTACAAGCTTATGCGAAAAATCAACTGGGAGGATAGAAACTATAAATAAAATCTAGGCTATCTACCTTATCAAAAAAAATGTTTTTTATGATGAACTTTAGTGGCACAACTCAATTCAATAATCCAGTGCTCAGCAAAATGCTTGAGGTATTATATTTGCTTAACTGATGTTTGTTGCATGTATGAGAATTCAAATTTTTTCTAATGCAAAAAAGGAAAAATAAATGGTATTTGTCATATCTGGCTTTCTATCACCTGATGCATAAGTCCAAGTTCCTTGAAATGACATTTAAGGCTCTTCTCATATTCTGGCCTTTACCTAAATTTCCAGCCTTATTTTCTGCCACAAACTGTCTGATGCTTAATGCTTCTGAAACTGCTTTTATTTCTTCAAAACTTTACCATGTCTTGCCTCCATGCTTTTGTTTATGCCTTCTGCCTCGTATCTACTTGGGAAACTCCTTTTCCATCTTCAAACTCCAGTTAGAAAATCTTTTCTGGGAAGTCTTTCCTCATAAAAAAAAATTTTTTTTAAAGAGCTTATTTACTCCTTTACTAAACTATTCCTACAACTTGTACATACTTTTCCTGCAATGGATCACAACATTCTATTTTCTATTAGCAAGGACCTTAGCAGTGTGAGCAAGCCCAAGGACATGACTAAACCAATTTCAAAGTCCCATTCTTTGAGGATTTACTTACTGATACTCATTGTACCAATTTCTGTATCATTCAAGGTTTAGTCAGGAAACAGAAGCCTTACCTGTTATTTGAATAGAGAAAAGTTAATACAAATATTGTTAATTAGGATAAGATATTAATTAACTCAAAAGGCAATAAGAAAACAATAAAATATAGAAGAAGGTAACAGGAAACAATAACATATCAGGAAGAAGTTAACCCCTCTAGGGCTGGGGGAACAAAAGGAAGAGTTTAGAATTATTAAAATGTATGCGATTACAGGAACCAGCCCTATGGCTTCCCTCAGAGAAGGGAGTGCTATTCTGATGGGATTGGTGTCTTAAGGTGAGCATGATAAGGCTGATTTGGTAAGTTTTGAAAACTACAGATAGGGCATCTAGGCATTATAGGACAAAGTTATACAGTCTGAGATACATATAATTGGAATTCTAAAAGGAGAATTGAGAGAGAATGGGGCAAAGAGATATATCAAGAGATGATGACAGGAATTTCAGAAAATGATACAGGACATCAAACTACAGATCCAAGAAGCTTAGAGAACCTCAATAGTTACATACTGCTGTGTAATAACTCACCTCAATGGCTTAAAACAATGAACATTTGTTATCTCATAGTTTTTGTGGCCGAAATTCAGAAATTCAGGAGTGGCTTTGCTTGGTGTTCTGTCACACACTTTGGAGAAACTCAGAAAGACATAAGCCACAATACCTTTTAGGACCTAGTCTCTCAAGGTACACATTGTAATTTCATCTGATTCTATTTGTTAGAACCAAGTTAACTATGGCCAACACTCAAGGGATGAGAAATTAGACTCCACATCTCCATTTCAAAAGTGAAGGAGAAATAAAGATTTTTAAAGGAGAACAAAACTAATGTAATTCATTATTAGCAGAACTGCACTATAAGAAATGTTAAAGGAAGTTCTCTAGGCAAAAGGACTATGATACCAGAAAGAAACTTTTATCTACACAATGAAATGAAGATCTTAAGAAATGGCTGAAGTGATATATGGAAGATATTTTTTCTTATTTTTATTTTCCCTAGACATAATTGACTGTCTAAAACAAATATAGTGACAAATTATTGTGGGTTTATAGCATATGTAAAAGGAATGTGTGATAACATAGTACCAAAATTGGGAGGTAGGAATGGTAAATACATAGTTGTAATGTTTCTACTCTACACATGAAGCAATAAAATATTTGAAAGTAGTATAATAAACTAAAGATATATATTATAAACTATAGGGTAAATAAAAATATTTTAAGAGGTATAAATTATAAATTAATAATAGAGATATTTGTGGCAGCACAATTCACAATTGCAAAGATGTGGAAACAACCCAAGTGGTCACCAATACATGAGTAGATTAATAGAATGTGATATATGTATACCATGTAGTATTACTCAGCCATAAAAAAAATGATGAACTACCTTTTATATTATCCTGGATGGAGCTGGAGCCCATTCTTCTAAGTAAAGTATAACAAGAATGGAAAAACAAACACCACATGTACTCACCATCAAATTGGTACTAATTGATCAACACTAATGTGCACATATGGGAAGTAACATTCATAGGGTGTCAGGCAGGTGTCAGGGGAGAGGAAAGAATGGGTAAATCCATACCTAACAGATGTAGTGTGTACTGTTTGGGGATGGACACACTTGTTGGGTGGTGCAAAGGCAATTTATATAACCAAAGCATTTGTACCCCTGTAATACTCTGAAATTTTAATAAAAAAAAGAGTGGTTCTGAAACAAAATTTGCTTTGAGAACTGCAGTCACAAAAATCTACTCCAAACATTTTAAAGCTAAGATCTGTGGGTATTG